CTCACACACACACACACACACACACACACACACACACACACCTACGTTACACGTATACAGAATGGGTTTACGCTCAAAATACACATGGTTTACCAAATCCACAAATGCACAAGTCGATTCAGCAAGTTCACTAGCACATTATTAAATTTTTGGGAACTTCGCAAAGACTTGAAACAACTCTCCACTCGGGAGAGGGTAAAAAAGGGAGAAACAAGAAACGGTATGCAATCATGTACAAGCTGAGAGACATGTAATGCTGAAGCACCGTGACCCACAGGACCGGTGTTCGCCTTCGTACCCAGAGGACCCGAGTTCGATTTCGCATGAGAGTGTGTGTGTGTGTGTGTGTGTGTGTGTGTGTGTGTGTGTGTGTGTGTGTGTGTGTGTGTGTGTGTGTGTGTGTGTGTGTATGTGTGTGTTTCTTTACCTCTTATTTTCTCCCTTGTTTAGCACTCGTTTATCTTCCGAGTGCAGACATGCAAAACTCTTATGAAACATGACGAAAACCACTCGTGGACGCATACAAAAATGTTTGTGCTTTTGCAAACGCGAACGAACAAATGATTACAAATGCACATATATCTATTTGCACACACGTGCACATGAATACAAACTCGCACACATTTACACACACGCACACATGCAGACGCACATACACCAACACACTCGCTGAAAAAAAGGCATTTTAAAAAACTCAAGCCGTTATCTTTACATACATATTGTGATGAAAATGCATGGTGAAGTTACAAATTGACAACAATGGGTTTTAACAAATGAAGAAGAATAAAAAGAAGAACTTTTAACATTTCGAGAAAACACCTGCGGAACGCTTCTGGGTCTGTGAAGAGACCCAATTAAGAAACCCCTCCGCCTACTTCCTAATGCTGTTGCCAAGTCCGTGTATCTCAGATAGTTTTCTACTGACATGGTGGGGAGGCGTTCGTCTTGCCTGAAACACCGGGTGCAAGCCCTAGCTCTCTAGTGTGATGAAAAAAAGAAAAAGTAGAGAGAAAAACTCTTTGTTATGATGAAAGCAGAAAAGAAAGAAAGAAAAGAAAAACCCAAGGAAGTAATGGGGGCAGAAACGAAAAAAATGTGAACCTATAGTCTAATATACCGGAACGTGTTTTGTTTTTGGTGGGGGGGTTTGGGGGGAGGGGGCAGCTGACACGTGGATTTCTTTTATTTTTCCGTACTTTGGCAGCCCCAGGTACTTCTTATTCTTGCCTTCGAAGATTTGGAGTCGTTTTTTATGTTTTTCCTTTCTTCCGTTCCGGAGTTTTATCGTAAGAAACAGTTTATCCAACTTTGTCAGTAAATGATCAGGGGAGCCCAAAAGAATAACAATAATTCATTGGTTTAACTCTCAACAGCCAATTGCTTTGCACTGACTTCAAAACAAGACTAATCCGAACACTGTTCATTACATGATATGATTGATTTTTTTTCTTGCTACATACATGTTGCCGTCAATGCCAAACTTCTCTTACCGAGCTATGTGAAATGCCGAGGATGAAAGAAAGAGTCTTTGAGAGAAATAAGAACATCACATTTTTTATGCGCACGTATTTTAAAAGGCACCATTTACCACATACTGTCTTTTGTATAAAGGAATAAAGGAACGTTTCTTTCATTTTCTCAAATGTTTTTAAAAGATGGAATACTTTATTCATAATATAACGCTTCCTGTAAAAAGAAGTAAAGATGAGTGTCGCCCTTTAATTTATATAAGACAGTATATCCGACAGTTAGGTACAAAATCTTTTTTTTTCTAAGTCGGAAAATCAAGGTACAGCCTTATCGGACATACTTTTTCTTCGATACACTCTTCCCACTTTATTTACAAAGATATTCATGCCAGGCCAAGACAGAAATGCGGGCCGTATTTTAAATTACTTGGTGGAATCAATAGCTCGAATTCTTCCAGAACTGGATAGAATGCCTTGTAAGATAGAACCCCAGCGTTGTAAGTGAAAAGGGAAAAGTACCCGGTATCCGTTGCTATAGTATGGTATAAATTTGTCATTTTTTATTAGTTTGCTTGGTATATCTTGTTACAGTTACAGTGGTTTTGTAATCCAACGGCTGATATTCTCATATTGAAATTTTCTTAATTTCTGAAGCTAGCAGGAGCGAAAGCTGACTTGTTTGACAAGGTAATCAAAGTGAGACTAAGAACCAGAAAGAGGTGAGCCCACACCCGAAAAACTTTCCCACAATAAGAGCATACAGAACACAACTTCTTATACTAGGCAGCATCACTGAATTTTAAATTTAAAAAACCAAGGAGGTTATAAATAGAAGGTCCTTGTTGAAAACAAATTCTGAATTCATAGTTTTTGTTCACCTGCCAGAATAATCGAGAAGATATCTCATTATTTATTTATTCCCACTTTGGGCAAAACGTAATAATACCTATTAAACATACGGTGGAAAGAAAATGTTAAATGCTGGTATTTTTGGCACGGATGGTAACATCTGCGTATTTACAATCCCTTTTTTCCATCAGTCTTTCATTTTGTCTTAAATAAATGACCAACTATGCATTACCACAAACACAGGTAAAGACGTTCTTGAAGTCTAACATTATAAGTTACTATTGAAAGAGAACTTCTAAAACACCGTTTCTATATTAGCTCAGCTGGAAGAGGCCCAACGTCTGCTACATGTTTGAGCGTATATATACATAGCCACCGTGTTTTCTTTACAATTAATGATATGTAGCTGACGTTCTGTTTGCGTGTTGAGCCGACCCCCGGGATAGAGATGATTCATTAATCATTATTTATGCCATGATCGAGATCAGAATGTTTGTTTTGTTTCAGGAATCCTGTTATGGGTGATTTTATTGTATGTATTTCACCCTAACCGTCACGATAACCTTTATCCTTTCATCAGATCATTACAATCGTCATCATTATCCCCGTTGCATCATTAGGAATAAAAATGTGTCTATTTATTGGCTCAATGCATCGCCTCCACTTCATCATCGTCATCATCATAATCATCAGCATCATTGACATGATCTGTACTAGCGGCAGTAACCACCGCAGAAGCTACAGAAGATGCAGCAGCAGCAGCAGCAGCAGCAGCAACAGCATCAAACGCAGCGAACGTAGCACGAGTATTGGCATCATGACAGTTGTGCGAACTATGACAATTATCCTTTCATTTTTCAAACCGATGCATAATAGTGATAATAATATGTTCACTGTGCTGAATATAGCACAGACAGAGAAGAGAAGTGAAAGAATGGGTTATAAATGTCATACATAATGGATTCGATTTACGCTGTGCACTTTGTGACCGCCATTGAATCGAATCAACTTATATGTGTATTAATCTCAACGAGGTGTCACATACGCGACGATAGCTTTCCCCCACACACCCCACTCCCTTCTTCCCACCCCGATATCCACCCGATCTCGATCCTGTCCCCCTGGTTTGCATGGAAACTGGACCCAGCTGACTCCAGAGACGTGAAAGAATAGCTCTTATTGAAGATTTCGTTCAGGTTCTCAAGCTAAGTGCCGAGCTGTTCGAAAAGAATTCGTTGGTTGTTGTCACTTGTTGTTTTAAGTTTCTGATTTTGTTGTTTGCTGCTGCTGCTGCTGCTGCTGCTGTTGCTGCTGCTGCTGCTGCTTAAACCATTCATTTTAGGCCGAGATTGTGAGAGATGCATTTTATCAGCAAAATACAGATTCAAAAATAGAAACCAGTTTCCCTGTGACGGAATCGAGCCCACGCCGTTTGCATTAAGGTGCAAAGAAGAAGGAGAAGCGTGAAATGTGAAAAGCCTGCATATAACATAACAGATGTTGGTGATTGAAATATTAATGTGAGTTTTCTTGTTGTTTCAGACAATGACATCGACGACCTTGAAATGCAGGTGGTCCGGTACAAGCCGGAAGGCCTGGACACGCTATGTAAGAATACCAAGTTCACAAAGAAAGAACTACAAATCATGTACAGGGGCTTCAAGCAGGTCAGTCTCAATTTCACATGCATTAAAGATAAGATAGGTTAAGATAGGATAAGTTAAGATAAGATAGGATAAGATAAGATAAGATAAGAGAATATTTTATTGCCACAGATTGAAATTTTTTCTTGGCTGTACTGGACCGAAAAAACAGGTATACATACAAATTGAATTATATATTATGATATAAGCTAATAAATGTATCTTAGTAAAACTGTATCAACCAAGGTACATGCAATTTGTCTAATATATTATGTGTGTGTGTTTGTGTGTGTGTGTGTGTGTGTG